TTTATACAGTGTGCAGCAAAAGTAACACTTTTTTTTTTTTTTTTTTTTTTTTTGGGTAACTTTTATTGAACAAAAATGAATTGCAATTAGTTGAAGAAAATTTAGAAGTATTGTCACATCAAAACATCATTTAACAAACTATTTAACATGTTCAAAATGCTCCTCTTCATGTTGAATACAATGTTGAACCCTATTAGCAACACTTTCTATAAATGATTTGACACATTTGTAAATTAATTTCAGAAATTTTACCAGAAATTGCTTGCTTTAATTCAGGAATTGTTTTCGGTTTGAGCTTGCAAATAAGATCTTCCAGACTTAACACCACACAAGAAAAAGTCTGGTGGTTGTGATGGCCATCCACATTATCCTATCCACCTTGGCTTGAAAAAAAAGGGGGCATTACTTTTGTTGCAGCCTGTGTTTGTGTGTGTATATATATTTATGCACAGCATTTTTTGTTCTATCTAGGCTTCAAGCACTTTACAGAGTAGGCAGGTTTGCAGTTTTTCTTTTTTTTTTTTCAATTTTTCTTTTTTTTTTTTTTTTTTTTTGGCAAGTTGTCTGTTGGCCACCATCAACAGTTTTTTGTTTATTATATATATATATATATATATATATATATATATATATATATATATATTAAAGTTTTTGGGGCAGCAAACCATCTTCAAAATTTCATTAAACAAGACTGACAGGGAATGCATTGTTTTATTTTTTTTTTTCTTCTTGTGTGATTTATATATATATATATATATATATAGTATGTTTTTCTTTTCTGGGCTTAAACAGTGTAAAAATTGTCCAAAAGTTTGTTGATTCAGATTGCTTTCAGTTCATATATGGGAATATTATTATTTTTTTTTTCTTAATCATTTCATCCCAAGCAAGACCATAAAGCCACTTAGATACAAGGGGTTATTGAGTATGTGAAAAAGAAAACATTAAGAAGAGAACAATAAAGGAACAGGGATTAAGAATACAGAAAATAGGACATATAATCTAAAACAACAAGAATTTACAGTATTGACTGTAAGAAATGTCCAAAGAAATACATAGGTGAAACATCTAGGAATTTGTGTATATCAAAAACAAAAAAAAAACCAAAAAACATGAGCACAAAAGGGATCTTTTACAAAACAGCACAGTCAATACATTAGTTGTTAATTGTGATTAATCTGGCCATAATTTTGACTTTAAGTATGAAATTTTAATTAAGAGAAATTAATTTGTTATGGTGAAAAATAAAGAAAGTGCACTATTTTCTTAGTCTTCCACAGTAATTTTACATCCAGGGTCATGTCGTGTATGATGTTTCTTAACAAAACTATTGCTATTGCAATGTGTGATATTTAAAATCTAGTTATTTTTTCACCCCTGAATGAGGTTGGCTAGGTTGAGCATTTGGCACAAGAAATTTAAATTAAACATCTCTGCAACTTTAGCTTTACCCTTCAATCTACAATTATAAATGATATATTTTGTTCCCAGCCTTTGTCTGTGTGTGTAATATATATATATATATATATATGATTCCATCAGTAAAAACATTTAGTGGGAAGTCCTTTTGAAGGACAAATGTGTTCATAGAATTTTTTTCTATTTTGGCATTAACATTAGTCCTACACATACATACATACATACATACATACACACACGTGTGTATGTAAAATTCTATGAACACATTTGTCCTTCAAAAAGACTTCACACTAAATGTTTTTACTGATGGAATTATATAACTGACAGTGAATGTCTATTTTAATGTTCAAGTATTTGCTTTAATTTCTGGTGAAAATAAAGACAAAAATTGTCCGACATTTGGATATTATTTTATTAAGTTGGTCCTAAGCTTTCAGCTCACATGAACCATCCTCAGAGTTGGTTATACAGACATGAAACAAAGATATACACCATAAAAGATATTTTGTTATTTTGACATAGAAGATTGCTATACAATGTTAACAGTCGTGGAATAGCAAACATAGATTGTAAGTTCAAGATATGGTTCTATGATGTCATACCATGCAATAGACCAAAGTGTTAAAACCTGATCAGATATAATAGATGTTCCTTGTCTGTTAATATTTAATAATATATGTTTAAATAATAATCTACTTCCCCAATACACTACATACATACATACATACATACACACATATATATATATATATATATATATATATCTAATGTTCAATTAACTTAATCTTGGTTTGGCTTGGCTTGGCTTTTGCCTTTAACCCTGGAAGAAGTTGTTGGAGCTGAGCTGTCAACCAGTCTCCTCCATCTTTTGCACTTGTGTGCCAGAGCCTGGATCTCCGAATAGTTTCTTGGTGTGATCATCATGTGAAGTGTCTTGACCTTGCAGAGCCCATCTTCTTCCAGATTAGACCACAGCTGATATCCTCCAACTTGATGGCTCACCTTGGTCACAAATACATGACCCACTATAGTTCATCTTTGGAACCCTTCTACCTTGGCCACTGATCTGTGTCAAGGAGGTCCTTTGCTCAGTGGTACCATGTTAGCACCACTCCCTCATGAATTTAGCCTACCAGCTGAAGTTGTTTACCAGGACATGGCAACATTGGGCCATCATGTGAGAGATTTAGATGTCTGAGGAGCTGTGATGCCTGTCCACCAGAAGGTGCAGTGTGCCAGACATCAAAGGTACTACTTCTATCCAGAGCTCCCTATGCCAACACATATAATATTTTAACTTAATCTAATAAATATTAAAATTGACTTGAGTTTTTTTTTATGCCTTTGTATAAAGGAGGAAATTATTTTTTATATCCCTCTATAAGAGGTAAGGGTTCCTGCTGTAGAGCAGTTGTTGTCAGTTGAGTCAGTCAGGCTGTTGATAATGTTGTAATTCTCAGTAGGTACTCAGCCAGTGGTGCTTTGTTTTGAACTAAATTGGTATAACCTCAAGGGCAAATAGTAAAATATTTTTTTAACTTTAATCTCCCTAAAAAACAATTCACAGCAAAATGCATGGATTATTCCCTGTAAATAGTTTTGTTTTGTCCTCAGAGTACAATATTTCCTTCTTGACATTTTGACATGCACATATTAACAAATAAGAAAAGTTGTGGGACTCAAATTACCTGACAACCTTAGTGACTTATGTAAATTTTAGAGAAAGTAAATTTCCTAACTTGCATGACAGAACTGAAATAAATTCCTTCCTCTCTTAATTCATTTGGCATTTTAGATATAAAAACAATAGATGTTTTAAAGTTTCAGTTTGGGGAAAGTTCGTTGTTAGTTTCTCTGGGTAAATGTTTTTAATTTTAAAAACTGATAAGCTAATGATAATGTAGTTGGAATTTACTTATTTTATTTTTGCTCATCTGTATAAGAATTTAACTTTTTAATTTTATAGTAATATGTGGGTAATTCTTTCAGATTTTATAATTTGCAGTTATTTTTTGCATAAGAGATGAAAAACAATTTCAACAATTTTCAGCTAATGAGTCTTGGAAATTACTTTCTGAATAGATTTCATCAGGAATAATTCTGTTTTTTAAAATACCGAAAGGTTGACTACTCTCATATAATCTCTCCCACACTCACTCATACACACTCATTAACTCTCTCACTGGTATATTTTCCTAAAATGATGGACTGCAGCATATTTCTAAAGTATGTATAAAAATTAATTCTTCATTAGAATTGGAATAACCAAGATGAAGTCTGGATCTCTTTCTCAATTGGAGAACTGAGTTGGAATTTTAGTCAGGTACATTACATTTACTTACATGCAAATACATACCTTGGTATGAATTCGTTTCTTCTCTCCCCCCCTCCCAAGTTATGGGTTGAATAGTAGGACTTGTATAAGGAAATATAATTGCTATTCTCAAAAACTGTTGAAGTGACACCCCACCAAATAAAACGGAATTATTCATATGATCCAAAATATGGTTTGGCTTTAAATAACCTACAGAGGATTGATAAACCTTAAAAAAACAAATTACTTTCTTTCTCTCTCAAATTTTTTTTTGTTTACAAATTTGATAAGTGTTCAGGATTCAATATTTGGAACAAAATATAATTGATGTGTTTTTAATTCTAATATCCTCACTGGGTAACTCATACTTTTGACCTTTGTTCCACATGTAAACTAAGCTTGCTAAATTGCTGCTACTGACATCATTCATTGTTTTTTTGACGCCAGAAATTTAAGTCTCAAGAACAATAGAAGAAATATAGATAACATTCTGCTAATGTTTGTTTACACAGTTTTGTTATTTTGCTAATTACATGGAAAATGAACATTATTATGAGACCAGGTTGAAAGATTTGGGTTTAAAATAGAAAACCTGGGATACCTTTTATAGAAATATTTATTGGAATGCAAGGTTTTTGAATCAATCAAATGTAATGTGTTCTAATAGCCTAAGAGGTTGGGAACATACTATTGAATTAAACAGATGTAGATTAAATATCATGAAATCTTTCTGGAGTTCCATGTCTGTGGAATAGTTTATCAGAATATGTGGTTCTTTTCCCTGATATTGTGAATACTTTTCCAAAGAATTATGATGATTATTACAATACCATGAGTGATTTAATGTGTTTAAAATTGATGTAGATTTACATTCGATGTATGCTTTCGATGTAAATTTTGTATACTTTTTTTAATGAATGTCTTGCTTATTATATAGGCTTATGGAATTAGTTGTAAAAACAGTAATTTAATAAGTTATCTGCTTATTTGTATTGATTGTATTGGAAATAGATTTCTGTTTAAGTAATAAAACTTGAAGTAATTAAGATAATTAAATATGAATTTTAATTAAAGCTTCTTTATAGGATTGATTACATTTTTATTTACTTGCTAATTTTAAATATTAGCTTTCTTTGTATATTTTTATTTATTCATTTTTTCTTTTTTAATCATTTTTTTTTTTTAATCCGAAATGGTCAGTAAAAGTAAATATAAATTATTCTGAGATTTATTCATCTTTATTTTTCTTTTTGTTGCAGGAAGTGTCATGGCTGGATTTGTCAAAAAGTGCCCCTGCTTACGCCCACCTACTGAAGAAATCCATGTCTTGGATTACAGACACAACAGTCTGTCTGACTTACCTACTGAAGTGTTCAACTTGGAACGTACACTCGAGGAATTATATGTAGACAACAACCAGCTGCGGGATCTACCCAGGGTAGGTACAATTACATGTTCATACATGTAGATACATATCAAACTAAACAGTTGGCATTTGAGTTCCAAGAAAGATTATCAAATAGCAAAGGATTAGCTGATTAGAAAATTAGCACTTGAAATCCTGATATTTCAATTGATTCTGCTCAGAAATATGAAACTCTGTCAACCATTGAGAAAACTACATTATATATATATATATATATATATATATAATATTAACCCAAATAGTATTATTTATGTTGTCATGAGACATCTGGTGTTAAAAAAAAAAAAGTCAAATCCATGAAAAATATATATATATATATATATATATATATATATATATATATATATATATATATATATGTGTGTGTGTTATAGTGGAACACGCCTATTCTATTGTTAATACTCTCCCACCTATAATGAGTAGTAGCAGTCACTCAGTGAGTTGGTCAGTCAGTCGATGTCGGATTTGCCATTAATCTGATACTAAAAGTATCAGTGACCACCACTAGATTTCTCTGTGTCATTACCTATTCTATCAAGTTCCTAACGTTTTGTACATTGAACCTATTTTAGGACCGACCGAATACAAGCCTCCATTGTGAAACCACTCTACAACAATATATATATATATATATATATATATATATAAAAACATGCACACACTTATAACAAATGGGAACTGATACTCACAAGGACAATAAGATTTTGATTATGATTTTTATTTATTTATTTATTTTTATCAATTTTCTCAAAGCAAGGTGACGATACCACTAAGATGCAAGGGATTACTGGGAGTGAAAGAGAATGAAAAGATTCTAGGAAGAACTAGAAACAAGGGATAAACCTCTACTCTTTTTCAAAGGACTGACAGAGAGGAGTGTGAACTGGACAATAGGTGAACCTATCTACTCCTATTGATGGAAAAAAAAAATAAAGGGTAAATAAAATTAGAGTTTAGGTGGAGATGTTGCATATAAGAAAATAATGAAAAATAGAATGAAAGATAAAATTAAGAACAATGAAAGTGCAGCGGGGTAAAAAAATGTAAGATTGGCATTGGTCTTACACACGCACATATATATAATCTTTTAAAAAGATCAACTACAAACGTTTTTGGTTGAGATGTGGATTTTTTATTTTAGAATATATATTATACTCTATTTTCCATAATTCTGCTACACGCGTTTCTGGTCTCATGACCTTCTTCAAGCAAAAAGTAAATATTTCCACAAATAAAAATGAATTTTTTGTGATGGCAGCAATTCAGATGTTAAAACCATGACTAATTGATAAGAGTTTATCACCAGTATATATGTTGTATCATATTCTTTATATATATATATATATATATATATATATATATATATATATATACCAAAAATATGTTAGCTCTATCTCTGATATTGAGCGCTTTCTAATAAGTACCACGCATATATAATATAAATAATTATATATATATATATATTTTATATTTATATACACTTTTCATATATATATATATATATATATATATATATATATTTATTTATATATTTAACAATATGTTTGAATAATGATCTCAAATATTTAATACAATGTAATTTATATATATATATATATATATATAGTTAACATGTTTTTTTTCCAATTCTAAAATTTTTAAATTATTTAAGCCACTAAAAAAAAGTTGACAATTATATTACAATAAATTAAACAATACATGGACATAGCAACAATTATCAAGTCTGTTTTCTTTTTGCATAGATTTTTTCAAGCCATGACAAACTTTTTGCATTTGATATTGGAAGTGAAAAAATTTGTTGATAATGTTAATAAATTTATCAGATGAAATATGAAATTATTTTATATTAAAATTAGACGAAACTTAATAAAAATTTAAAAAACATGCATCAATGAAATAATAAAAAATTAAATCAAATTATATATATATATATATATATATATATATATATATTTAAAATAAAATATGATTAAAAATTTATTTTGAACGATAAATTAGGGTTTAAATGCAAATAATTAATTTTATCATTTTTAACAAAATATATATAAAAAAAATCAAATATTCATTTAAATTTTTAAAAAATATATTAGAATATATTTCAAAAATATTTATTTATAAAATATTCATATTGACAGATTAAATTTGTTAATGCAGGATTTTGATGGCATCTTTTTATTATATATTTTAAATATATTCAAATATATATAAAAAAAAGAGTCTATTTCTTCATTTACCTTTTAATTTAATAAAAAAATATGAAAGCAATACCAAAATTTTCATGCTTATTTTTAATGATCAAAGTTGAGACATTTCAAGTTGTTTTTCAATTTGTCTTTATAACATAAGTGTATAAATCAAATGAAAGCTGGGAGTTTAGATTGTCCATACAAAATTTTATTATAATATTAAACAAATCTATTCTCACAACATGACCATAAATATAAATTGTATCTTTAAAAGGAATGGAAAAAAAAATATTTATGATGTTGTTATATGACAGATTTCATATTGTATATATTCTTACCCTTCATCAATATTATATCATATGGCATATATACATATTATTATATATATATATATATATATATATATATATATATATATATATATATTCAAACAAATTTTAGGAAATTGTTGGCATAATTAAAGAAATTAAAAAAATTTAAATTTAGTATTTTTTTTTGATAACAAATTTTAATAAAAAATTGATCATAAGAAAAATTAATTTACATAGATTTTAAAAAACATAAAGTTAATTTATTTTTTATTGTGTTTTTTAAAAAAACCTTAATTCAATTTTTCCAATTCAAAAAATTTTAGTGAAAAATACAAATATGATAAAAAAAATATTTATTTAAACAAAGAATTTTTTAAAAAAAATTGATCAGAATTTAAAAATTATATTTTTAAATCTATACAATACCAAACAATTATTTATAATTGGAATTATATATGATAAAAAAATTAGAAAAATTTATAAAAAAAAAATATCAAAATTTTTTATCAGGGTTTTTTTTTGTTATATAACTTTAAAAAAAAATAAATATAAATATGAAAGAAAACATTTATAGCTAATCTAAATAATTTTCAAATATTAAAAGCATTTTAAAAGAATTGGATTTTTAAAATAAATTTAAAAATGAATTTATGTTTTTTTTTATATTTAAATAAACCTGTTTGATTTCAAGATGTATTTTATTTTTCTGTTAAAATAAAAAAAATATATATAAAAAGTTTGCCAAGGTCATATTTTTTTTGTAGGAATAATTTAATTTCATCCATCTTATGTTATAATTCTTTAATTAAAATAACAAAATTTTTTGATATATATCAATTTTTAATATTTACCTTATATGATTTATATATTTATTTTCTTTTTTTATTTTTTAATTTTAAATTTTTTTTTTAAACTATTATTTCAAAAATCAACATTTTTTTCTTATGAAAAATAAAATTCAAAATTTTTGATTTACAATATATTTATAATATAATTAGCATAATTAATGTCAGAAATTTGAAAAAAAAAGAAAAAATATTTATTTTGAATCCATTCAAATAAAAAGTTGAACTTGTATTGATATAATTTGCAGATAATATATTTCCATTTTTTATTGGGTTTTTTCCTTTTTTATTATTGAACAGGAGAGCCATGACAAAATATCTAAAAATACTTTGAGCATTGGCAATTTAATTTTTATATCCTTAGAAAAATTTTTTTTTTTTTTTTCACAAAATTTAAATGTTTTTTAAGTTTTATAAAAAAAATTGACAGAAAATTTTTTCAACAAAAAAGCAAAATTTGTTTTATAATGACATTTTATTTTAAAATCTCAAATCAAGGTTAAAAATAATCTCATAAATTTTTAACAACAGAAATTTTTTTTTTTTTTTAAATTCGTATTTTATTTGATTCTTCAATTTAAAAATTGACTTTTTAGAAACTTTTTTTTAAATTTTTTTATATATATATATGTATTTATATTATATTAAAAAAATTTTATTAGAGAATGAAGAAGAATTTTAAAAGACAGAATATTTATAATTTTAAAATCCATTTGTATTTCCCCAAATAAAATTTTTTTATACAGACTTTTTTAAAAAAAAATATAAAGACATTAAATATTGAAAATAATGAATATCATACTAAAAATTTTTGTAACAAATTTTTAATCTGTCTTTTTTTTTAAAAAAATTTTTTAAAAAATATTCCATTTATTCAATCTCAATGAAAATATAGCATCATTACAAAATATTTTATTTCTGTCAATGTATATTTTTTTTTCCAAAATCCTTCAATAATTAAAGAAAATTTTTTGAAAAAAAAAATGAAATAAAAAAATGTCAAATTTTTTTATTTACAAATATTTTTTTCATAAAAAATCAAAAATAAATATTTGCTCAATTTTTTCAATTTTGCCCAATCAAATATAATTAATATTCTATTTCTCATTGGGATGAATTATTCATTTCAAAAGTACTGTTAACACAGAAATTGTAAATTTTAACAAAATTTTTTTATGTTTTATCCAACCTTTTAGTGAAAATCTTTAAAAAGTAATAAAATAGTTTTAAAATTCTTTCTTTTTTGGATTTAAATTGATTTTTTAAATAAATGATACATAGGTTTGAAAGCATGATATAATAACATATTTGTTATTAATTATTTTTTTTTAATCATTCAAAAGTTGCATATTCATATTTATGAATAAAAAAAAAAATTTACTATTTTATTAAATGAATTTACAAATGAATTTTTTTCATCTTCTTTGATTTTTTCAAAATTTTTTTGACATTTAGAAAAAAAATAAATAAAAAAATTTTTCTTTTTCTTTTATTTAAATCATTCACCCAATTTAAGATACAGAGTTTTGCTCAGTATTTTGTTAATTAGGACTTAAAATGAAATATTTAAACAAAAATAAACAACTTTTAATCAGTTTGCATATATAGTAATTATATATTATATTATATGAAAATATATTTACTGTATATTTTATACAAATAAAAATTTT